AGTTTGTCTGAAGGAAATCAACCAGGAAGTGCGCAGCGGTGGGGCTGGGGCGGTGGAGCCCGGAGGCAGCCTTGGCTCCGGAGGAACCTCCGACTTAACGGCCTCCGCCACGCTCCTGCTCCTGCCCCGCCCCCAGCGCTCCGCTCCAACCGAGAAATACGCTCCCCTAGGGAGGCAAGGAGGCAGGCGTGGAACCGGCACTGGTTGGGGGCGTGGAGAGTGGAGCGAGGGCGCCCAAAGCGAAAGCCAGGCTCCGCTGGGCGCGCTGGGGATGGGCGCGGCGTCCCAGGCGGTTCCTCTACAGACGCGCAGCATAGGTGCGAGCTTTTTGCCGACAGCCGGGGACCCATCCACCCAGCGCCAAGCCCAAGGCCCCACACTGCCCCCCTTCCAGCTGAGCGCGCGACTCGGAGGAGGGTGGGGGAGGCGCGCTGGTCTCCACCTGTGCCTGCCCCACCCCGCCCCCAATAACTGGGGCTGAGGCAGGGGTTCCGTTTCTGCCCGCTTCGTCCCCCCACAGCCCCCCAACCCCAGTCTGGACACCGAGATCCTTTACAGCCTTGCTCCTCGCCCCCTCCAAGGTGTCCTTTATCTCCCAGCTCCAGCCCGTCACCCACTTTCTAAGACTCCAGGCGGGGAGCTCCGGGCTATGGGCGCCTCCGGGTCCCCTGGCCCAGGATCCCCGCTCCCAGGGCCCCCTGAACCAGAAGGTAGAGCCAGACCTGTGGGCTGCGGGAACTCTGCCATCTCCTTCCGGGGCCCTGCCCAGGCGAAGAGGGGAGGAGGGGGATTCGCAAGTTTTTGCCGCGCGCTGCCCGGACCCGGGAACAATGGCAGGTTGGGGATGGGGGCAGAGGGGGAGGGGGAGGGGACAGAGACCTGCGCGCGAGGGCAGAGTCTGACTCCTGCGAGGGGAAAACTGCTCTTCGCTCCCTTCCTCTCTGGCTCCGAAGCAAGAGCGAGAGCCCGGGACGGGAGGCTGAAGGCGAAATAAACAGTCCAGGAGAGAAAAGAGAGGAGGAGAGGGAAGCCGATCAGAGGGAAGGGCAGCGAGCCGAGAGCGCGGAGGAAAGGAGCAGAAGGGCTGCGGGGTGGCTCCTGGGGGAGCCAGGGA